TCCATTTGAAAACATCGGTTTCTGAAGTCCAGAACGCAAGTTGCCATCAAAAACGTAAGTTTCTGATCTTCCCTTACAACGTCCCATTTGAAAGCACCTGGTGTGGCGGTGTCCGAACTAGAATCACCTGTGTATGGAAAAAGCGTTCCAGAAAGCACAGCACCTGTGAATGACAGATGTTTTGTTCCGGGGGGCTACGAAACCTTGCCAGGGAATGTAAGTGTTGTACCTGTTCGCATTTGATGCTGCGAAAAACCTCCAAGGTTCTGTATGGTTTGTACAGTTCGTCTGTTTGAGGTGGCCCGCGAAAATGCAATGTCGCCGTCGCGCCAGCCTGGCCTGCCCAATTCAAGGGACCCCACCAAAAAACAAGCACAATGTCTAGCAGGATTTCGTGGAACCATATGTCACGAAATCCTGCAAGTCGTTGTCTGTGCTTGCTTGTGAGCCCCTGGTGTCGCGAAGCGCTTTCAAGTGTTGCATGGCTTTGTAGTTATTGCTTTTGTTGGGATGGCACGGAATCGGGAAAGCCACTCTGGCCAAACGGCGGCCCGACTGCGCGCGAGCCACAAGTGCAAATGAGCAACGAAAGAACAACAGCAAAAACAGCTAAACATAAACACTGACGTACAGGGCTCCGTGGCACCAAGCACAAAACAGACAACACAAATCTGACAAGGTTTCGTAGACTCCGACATAAAAAATGTCATGCCACAGGCTCGTAGCTCCCCGATCTTGTGTCATATAAAGATCACGTGTGCTTCTAGCGTTGGCAAGGCCAAACCGTGCGCTTCTCACATGCATGGAAAATTGTGCGGGGAGGTCAATAACCGATGGTTGTATGGGTGACCTTGCGCCCTGTACTGCAGAACTTACGCGTTACATGGAAGACTGCGTCGTGGAGTTCCAAAAACCGATGTGCCGACACATAGAAAATTGCACCAGTGAGCTCAAAGACTTGCGCTTTCATACGAGAACGTCCGGTATGGACATCAAAAGAATATGGCCTCACATGTAAACTTGTGCGTGGAACTCAAAAACGTCTGTTTTCAAATGGAAAGCTACTGCCTGGAACCCGAAAACAAACGCTTCCTCAGATCAACAGAATGTTCGGTCACGTATTGTTGTTTTCTTGCGCAGCGCATTCTTATGGAGCCCTACTGTACGGTGTTCGTGATGTTGTTATCCAAACAGGCTTGCCATATAGGAGTCCTGGCTCAAACCCTACTAATTGGTCCGTTGCCCCCCTCACCCCCCCAATTCCTATGGCTATGCCTATGCCTATGCCTGCTTGCTTGCTTGCTTGCTTACTTGCTTGCGCGCTTGCACGCTTGCTTGCTTGCTTGCTTGCGCGCTTGCTTGCACGCTTGCTTGCTTGATGAGTTGCGGATTCCAAGCATGCTTGATCCTAATATGTTTGGAATCAACGCTCGCTGATCGTTGTACTTGTCTGCTGTTGGATCATTACTGCGTCGTTTTTAACTAAATGTAAGTGTCTGTGTTTGGGACTGCCCCAAAGCCGTTGTATGTTTATTTGGACCTTATGCAAATCAAACTGAAAATTATACACATATTCAAATGAGAACGTGTGGACCTGACTGCTGTTCCACTCTTATTGAATCCAGATCGGGGCCCTATCCGAAATCCCATTGGAACCCACTGGGTATGGATACTGCAAGACCCCATATCGGATTCCGATGTGAACCTCATTCAAATTCAAACCGTGCGGATCTGACCACTGTTTCATTATTGTCGGATTCCGAGCTGATTGTACCCAAAATCCGCCTGAACTCCCCTGCACCTGGAGACCGCCCCATCACTATGAAAAACTCGGTTTGGCTCCTATGCATATTGAACTAACAACCCTCTGGATCTGGGGAATGCTGCACCCCTGTTGAATCTCCAACTGAGTCGTACCCAAATAGATATGCAACCCTGTTTGAACCCGGAGTCCGCACCATTCCCATTGAGTTCACATGTGGGCATTCTGTCTGTGCAAATGAAAGCATCTGGATCCGGGCTCTGCAACATTCCTGTTGATTCCGTGCTTGTACATATACATGTATATGTACACAGTCCTACACACAGACAGACGGACAGACAGACAGGCAGGCAGCCGGACGAAAAAGAAAGACAGGCAGACAGATAGACACACAGGCAGACAGACAAGAACAAAGAAAAAAGAAACCGAAAGACAGGGATAAAGAAGACAAGAAAACTTTTGGGACGGAGCGCTGGTGGGGTCCCCATATATATATATATACATATATATATACATACATACACATATACATATACATATATACATATATTCATATATATATATGTGTATACCAATATACATACATACAGATGTATACATGTATGTGCGTGTGTATACATATACATATACATATATATAGAGAGAGATTGCACCTGTGTGTTAGCCAGCATGGAACCTATGTTGAGGATGCAACGCGGTGCAAAGCAGCGTAAAGCAACGCAAAGCAATGCAAGGTAAGGCCAAGCAATGCAAGGCCATACAAGGCAATGCAAGGCAATGTCAAGCAATGCTTGGCACAGCCTAACCATGCAAAGCCATGCACAGCAATACCAAGCAATGCAACGCAATGCGATTGCCAAGCAGTGCGATTGCAAAGCAATGCAAAGCAAGCAATGCACCACATCGGTGCAAAGCGATGCAAAGCAATGCAAAACACGGCAGAACAATGCAAAGCAATGCCAACCAGTGCAGGGCCAGACGCCGTCCAGCGACAAGGCAGCGACAGGACGGCGACGAGGCTGCGACGGCGACCACGACGCCGCCAGACCACCAACCACGCCCAGACGACGGGCGGCGACGAGGCGGCGACGGGGCGGCGACGGCGACCACGACGCCGCCAGACCGCCACGCAGGCCCAGACGACGGGCGGCGACGAGGCGGCAACGGGGCGGCGACGGCGACCACGACGCCGCCAGACCGCCACGCAGGCCCAGACGACGGGCGGCGACGAGGCGGCGATGGGGCTGCGACGGGGCGGCCCCGGGGCGGCGACGGCGACGACAAAGCCGCCAGACCGACCCCCAGGCCCAGACGACGAGCGGCGACGAGGCGTCGACGGGGCGGCGACGGCGACTACATAGTCGCCAGACCGACACCCAAACCCAGCTTCTTATTCCAGACGTAAGTACCCCTAAGTGCAAGTGGGCCCCAGGAGGCCGCCCAGACGGTCCAAGAGTACCCCGAATCGCCGAACGATCGGCCCAAGACGCCCAAGATGACCCCAAGGCGGCCCAAGAAGCCTTCAAGACGCCCCAACGTAGTCCCGAGAGCCTTCCCAAGAGGGCCCCAATTGATTTGTGCGTTCTCGCTGTTTCCTCTTCCTGACCTTCGAAGACGCCCGAGGAGGCCCCAAAGACAGTCCCAAGACGGCCCCAAGACGGCCCGAGAGGACCCCAAGACGGCCCGAGAGGGCCCCAAGACGGCCCGAGAGGGCCCCAAGACGGCACAAGAGGCCCCCCAGACGGCCCAAGAGGGCCCCAAGACGGCCCCCAGAGGGGCCCGAGAAGGGAACACGAACCGAAACTCATAGCCTTCCGCCCCAAGAGGCACCCAGGAGGCTCCAGGAGGCCCCCAAGAGGCCCCAAGAAGGGCCCCCCCCACGAGGCCTCAAAGGGCCCCCAAGGGGCCCAAAAGGAGCCTCACGAGGCCCCCTAAAGAGCCCCATCGGGGGTCTCAAAACTGCATACAGGATCCGCCCAAGAGGCCTCGACGAGATCCAAACGAACATCCTGGAGGCCTCCACAACCCAGGCGCGTTGGTGGGATTGGCCAAAAGACATTGCACATACGCATACAAACATGCATATATGTATATATATATATGTGCATACATGCAGGCATACATGCGTACATACATGCATGTATGCATACATACCTACATACGTGCATGGTTATACATACGTGAATATTCATATATATATATATGTGTATATGCATACATTCATACATACGTACATACGTACATACATACATACATGCATGCGTGCATGCATGTATGCATACATGCATGCATGCATACACACATACATACATACAGACATGCATACATACATGCATACATTCATGTGCATACACGTGCATGCATACATACATGCCTGCATGCATACAAACATATACACACGTGTACATGCATACGTACACACATACATGTATATATGCATACATACACGCATACATACATACGTACATAACTTCATACATGCCTGCATGCATACATACATGCTTACGGACAGACAGGCAGACAGACAGGCAGGCAGGCAAGCAGGCAGACAGACATATATGTACAGATGTACACACACATATACATACGCACACATGCATGTATTCATGTATCCCTCTCCTCCTCTGTCTCCTGGTCCCTCTCCATCTCCCTATGCTCCTACTCCTCCACCTCCTCCTCCTGCGCCTCATAGTCGTCATCATCATCATCAGCAGCATCATCATCATCTTCATCAACAGAATCATCATCAGCAGCATGATCATCATCAACAACAGCAGCCTCATCATCACCAGCATCATCATCCTCAGAATCCTCATCATTGTCATAATCGGCAGCATAATCATGTTCATGTTCATCCTCATCGTTATCATCATCAGCAGCATCATCATAATCGTCATCATCATTATCGTCATCATCATCTTCATCATCAGCATCATCGTCAGCAGCATTGTCATCATCAGCATCATCAGCAGCAGCAGCATCAGCATCATCATCATCAGCATCATCATGGTTATTGTTGCCCTCCTCCTCACCCCAATTCCTCCTCAATCTCCTATTCCTCCTTCTCCCCCACAGAAACTCGAGGCCCGTGCGTCGTCCGAGGTTCACCCTGACTAGGCTACGACGAAGGGCCAGCGGCGAAAAACGACGACGACGACGACGACGACGACGCCAACAACGGCGACGACATCGACGACGACGCCGCCGACGACAGCGACGCCAACCCTCCCTCTTTGTCCTCCGAGGACGATGCCCCAGGGCTGGGCCCCGACAGCAATGGGCTGGCCTCCGGAAGGGGGGAGGGGCGGGAAGAGGTGGAGGAGGAGGAGAAGGAGGAGGAAGTGGAGGAGGAGGAGGAGGAGGAGGTAGAGGACGCAGAAGAAGAAGAGGAAAAGGATGCTTGCTTCACCTTGACCTCTCCTGCGGACGTGTGCTCACTCGACAAGGGCTGCTTCCGAAAACATGCCCTTCCGACGAGTGTGCTTGTCCTTGATCACTCTGTACTTCCATATATTCAGGTGACGCTGGCCTCCTTCCAGCGACCCAGCAACGCCGATTCTCGAGTTGCTCGAGCTCTTCTTCTCTGGTTGCAGCACTATATGGTAAGCCTGCGCCGCCTTCTGCTGCAAGGGCTTCGGCTCTGGCTCTTTGTGCTCGAGCCTCTGTGCAGTGCGACCTGGTATTGCGTGACCACCGAATGTTAGCCAAACTTTGTGGCCAACTACACGAGCTGCAGCAGCTCCTTCTCGCTGAAGTTCTCACCTGGGGGCTCGGGCTGGAGACCTAGAAGTAAGGCTGGTGGTCCACTGGCCCAGCGACCCATCGCCCCACCTCCAGGTACCAACGTGTCGCCACCGTCCATGTGCTGCTGCTGTTCTGGCATATCAGCTCGCGTTGCTCGACAGCGTTTGCAGAACCAGCATAATGCTTTGTTCTTGCCGCAAGCGCAGAAGCGACATTTCCATGTGTCTGATTCGTAGCCACTTCCGCCTCCACTGTGTTCCGAGTTGTTCCACCCGCTGGCAGTTCACGCCCTCGCACGCTGCGGGCGGTGCTGCCAGGTCCAATGTCCTCGGGCATCGCGGCAGAGGGATCTTGGCGGAACGATTGGCTCGCTTGTGCATCGTGCCTGTCTGAAGTTCGTACAAGCGAGGCCCTTTGCCAAATAGTCTGAGTCCAGAGGAGGAGGAGGAGGAGGAGAAGGAGGAGGAGGGGAAGGAGAAGGCGGAGGAGGAGGAGGAGGAGGAAGGGCGGAGGAGAAGGAGGGAGAAGGAGGAGGAGGAGGAGCAGCAGGACGAGCAGGAGGAGCAGAAGGAGGAGGAGGAGGAGGAGGAAGAATAAGAAGAAGAGGAGGATGAGGAACACGAGGCTTTGGCAAGTTGTTAGCTTGTTTGGGGCACCCAGTGGGATTCTCGTGGCCACGCCTGGATCTGCCTCGAAGTCCCAGTCAAAACGCAACCCTGGAGACATCCAAGGATCGACCTCTGTAAGGCGGCAAGAGTGAGGGCGCCGTCATCCCCTCCGCTGCGAGAAACGATGAGCCTCTTGACCGTTCTGGGCCCCTGGAGGCCCGTGTCGGCCCCTGGGAACTCCCAAAAATCCACCCCTGACGCAAAGCTTGTCCCCAGGGTAGGGGTCAAGGGGTCCCGGGGCCCACGGGAGGTCAAAAAACGCGACGCCGGGCTACGCAGGGAGGGAAGATGAAGGAGGGAGGGGAGGGAGGGGAAGGAGGGGAGGGAGGCAAGCTAGGCGCACTCGCGTCATATCTGACGTCCTAGCCCTCCCTCCCATCCCTTACCATGGCGTAGATCTCCTCGCTATTCGCACAGTCGGATGTTGAGCACGGCAAGGATCCCGAGAGGGTGCGCAAAGCATCATAGAGCACGGCATAGCAGGGCGTAAAAGAGCACGGCAGAGCGTAGTGCCAGTATGTCATAGCATGGCGTGGCGTTGCGTAGTGAAGAATTGCATCACAAAGCATTGCAACGCAAAGAATGGCATCGCACAGCGGCACAGAACAGAACATGGCATAGCATGGCGTTGAAGATCAAACCGTAGTATGGCATATCATGGCGTGGCACTGCGTAGTCAAGCACTGCAGCGCATATCCTATCATTGCAGCTGAAGGCATGGGATCGCACAGCGGAACACCACATAGCATTGCATTGCATTGCATGCCGTGGCATGGCACTGGATACACTGACGCCAGCGCTGCAGCGGGAGTACAAATCGGAACGAGCGGAAATGCGGAAATCAGGCCAGCGCTACAGCGGGAGCACGATTCGGAAGGAGCGCAAGCCCGAAAATGAGGCCGACGTTTCAGCGGGAGCAACATTGTGAACAAAAACCCAAGCGAAAACCCAACTCCCAGGAATCCTGTGCGTAACAGCAATACGCAGAGGCGGGCCGAACGTCTGCCAGACGTCATCAGGGGAAAGAGGAGTGTAGTGTTCATATTGTGTAATTGTGGAGGGAGGGGAGGGGGAGGGGAGGGGGGAGGGGAGGGAGGGGAGGGGGGGGGGGGAGGGAAGGGAGGGAGGGAGGGGAGGAAGGGAAGGAGGAGGGGAGAGGGAGGGAGGGGGGGAGAGGAGGGGGGAGAGGGGAGGGAGGCGCACGCTGGGACGCGGAGGTGCACGCCCTGAGCTGACCCCGCGCGGCCCCGAGCGGCACGGCCACAGGCCGACAGGCAGAGCCGCGGCGCGGCAGGCCCCCAGCGCACGCAGGACGGAGGGGCGCGC